GAACAACTCAGCAGGTAAGCCACTAACTTGCAGGAATGTTAACAGAGTTGTGTCAGCTGGAAGGTCCCTACAGGGACAGGAAGAAGAGATAACTTTGTGTGTCCAGAGTGGATTTGTCCAGAGAAATGCTACAGTCATTATGCGTTCAGAAATACACAGAGAAGAAAATTCTGAAAGAAGTCTGATACTTCAATTTTCTTCTGTAATTGAAACTAGGCTCCAATTAGATAGAGTTTTCATAGCCTAGATGAAGGAGGGGAGGGGGGAAGCTATCAAGGATTTGAAAGGAAAGACTTACAGAATTGGCTGCATTTCTTGGCATAAGGAAAGGGTCATCCTGGAACATATAATGAGCAGCAGTAGGATCCTGTAGAAAGGAGAACCCAGGATTGAAACGTTTATAGTTACGTACACAGGCACACTGTAGGCATGTCACACTGCCTCATGGAATTTAAGGCACAATGAACGGTTCCATCGTAACCACCACCTGATGCCCGTTTTACAAAAGCTCCTCTTGTTCAAAAGGTTTAGCCTGTTTGGAAATACTTAAAAAAGCTTTTCCATTATACACACACATGCAGGCTAACATAGCGACAACAAAAGGGTCCTTACTATAACATGACAAGCAAGGAGCGCCCTGCAAAGCAAGAAGGACCCCAACTATAACAGTGTCATGGGAGCTGAGGGAACTTGCAGGATCAGGTTCAATTTCCATAACTAGGACAGACAGGATTAAAGAATGGCATCACAGCATTTACAGTTGTTGCCTAGCAAGAGCAGACACTGATTGCTCTTTGCAAGGCTTACTTTCTGGACCGAGATTGGGAAGAGGCAATCTGGATTGGGAAGCTGAACTGGTAAAGGAACTTGTTTCTGATGTTAGCAAAAGCCTTACCAAAATATTACAGCTTTCGCTGGTAGTTGCAGGTCTCTCTTAGCACTAGAATGAGGCTTTAAGGACACAGCAAAACGTGTTGAGCAAAAGTGAAAACCCCGTAAAAAACAGATGTAAAAGCCCCATCTTTCATTTACGGCTAAAGTAGAAGTAAGAGCCTGCAGAATGCAAGGTTAATGCGTGAGATGGACAACTCAACCTATGTCCACGATCAACAGAACTACTTACCCTGTTCACGGTAGAAGCCAACGTTTGAAGAACCGCTAGCTTATCCCTAAACATAAAGGAGCTTTGATTAATACTCAGTTGCAGACTTTGAGTGTTATGCATTACATCATATGCAGGAGAAGCATAGGATGATCCTGGCCCGTAAGGATTTTCAGTTCTAGGAAATAGTGGGTTTGCTGCACTTAGAAAATACCACTGTTCGCAAAGGGAGGGAAAAATTCAACTGCAAAACCAGTCTCAGTTCTGGAACAACCACAGGAAAAAGAAAAGACTTTGAGGAAAACCAGAAAAGCATGTGTTTCCTACTACCACTCCTGCCCTTATTATACACTATCAAAGAAAGAACATAGGGAAGGGATACAGAAAGAATTCCCTGGAATGCTCCTCTCGGAGCCCGTTAAGACTACCCCACCTCTGAGGGATGGATACATGAGTCCCTCTGCAAGACAAGTCCTGGGAGGAAAAAAAAACCCCAAACAAAACAAAACTAGATTTCTCAGGACTCCTGAGCCTGTGGATCCTTAAGACTTCGGTTGTGTTTCAAGCAAACAAAGAAAAGCCACTGCAAGTATTTAGGTGAAGGTGGTCTTATTTTAGGTTTACATGCAGACACCATTTGGTTATAAACTTAGTTTTTGCTGTACAGTCATGCAATTTCATCTTAAGTGCTTCCAACAAAATAGCTTTTGTTCAGCTGCATAATTTCTAAACAGGATTTATTCAGCCAGCTATCAATGGCCAAGTTTATTTTGCTGAAACACACCTGCATGCAGACAGCCAAATTAACTTGATTTTGCAGATTTCAAGTGAATGTGGTCTTTTACAAAGAAACAGAACTACGCTTAAAAATGCAGTCCTTATAACTGTTTTTAAAAGAAAGGTCAGGAACAGAGCGTACATACTCTGCACAGAGAGTAAGAGTCAAGAATATTCCCAGAGCTCCCAGTCAGCAGGAAAGCCACTAGTGGGACACTAAATCCAGGAATACAACAACTTGAATTTTCTTTTTCAGCTTTGGTGGACAGATTACATTTAGCTAACAATGATTTTCTTCCAGGTTGATACAGATATTCCAGCAGTAAACACTCACCAGATTTTCCTTCGTGGGAGCACAATTTCTTCTTGAGTAACTATGAGAAACAATATTAAAATTGTTACTAGAAACAAACAGATGCCCAAAGAAAATCCTGACCACGTGAAAATCAATCATTTAAGCTGATCCAGCTGGAAGTACTAAAGCAAAGATTTTAAAACCACAGTAGGCCACAATTTAGTGCAATGGTAATAGAAAAGGCTGGCGGGGACCTTAAGTGTCTTGTGTCAAGACAGGATCAGGATCCTATGGTAAACAAACGTCAAAGAGATTGTACCCATTTACCCATTCAAGCTTCTTCAATCCTTATCCCATATCGTCTAGCTTGGGCCTCAACCTTTCCCAGTCCCTTGCTTTCCTACTTAGTCCCCCAGTTTGAAGTTTGCCGTCTCTGCCCATTTGGCTTCAGTTCAGCCTGCCTGAATACTGCAGCGAAGTGCCCTCTCAAGTTCCTCCTCCGATAGCCTGACACCAACCGCTCAGTTCCTTCTACCCCACAGATCTGCCCAGCTTTCCCAGAGGGGAAAAAAGAAAAAGGACAATACCCAAAGAAGAAGCTAGAAGTTGTCAGTAAAGCATCTTAGCAAATTCATTCACAGAGGAGCACGTGGGACCTTCTGATTACAACTCCCAGAGCCAGGGTCTGCAGAGGCACTTTTCCCACTGCCTCTGTGTTGATGCTTCCATGAGCTGTTACTGACTGGCAGGAACTTGCTCCCATGTGCAGCACAGCTCCAGGCATCCCAGAGTACTTTTCTCACAAAACTTGTAGCAGAAATACGGTAAGGGGTACAGAGAAGCAGCAAGAATGTGAAGGAAACTGTCCAGATTAAGGTGGAAAACTCCTTATTTTTATTTCATAGTTTATTCCATTTCAAAGAGCAACTGGATAGCTCATGGAACTGGACAACTCGGTTCATGCTCTTGGAGCACAGGGCTGGTTGGTGGTGCGGGTAATCAAGTTAAGTCAGGAAATCTCTGCACAATGAAGATGGGGGGAAAGAAAATCCAAGAAGGGGAAAGAGGGCATTCATGTCGTCTTTATCTCCTGACACGCTATGTTGTTTGGAGATTAAAACAACATATGCAAGAAACCAGTAATTAAGACATCATACCTTCTGAATTTTCCACAGTCTTCCCAAGAGCTGTATTACTAGAAGAGCATCTATAAACCAATCAGAGTTTTCAATTTGTGGTAGTCACATTAATATAGCAAAAGTAGATTAATTAAATTCTGTACTACAGGTCAGAAATAATTAAAATGTTAGAGGGGAAAAGTAACTGAAGATGTTGCGCCGTTACTAACTCCAAATTATTATCATAAAACTCGTATTTGATGCTTCTCTTAAAGTCCTAATTTCAAGAGACAATAAGTTATACACAGAAAATCATATTACATAAAATTTGTAATTGTTTTGGGGGATATCATGGCTTTAAAGTAGTTTTTACAAATTACTGCATCTTAGAAAGAAAATCCTGAACATAAATCAGAAAAGACACTTTATGTTTTAGAGCCAGGATCTAGCTGAAAGCAGTACCTTTTTTAAAAATATTTTAGACCTGAGTAGTTTTTACACAAGCAGAAGACCCTGCGTTGGGATGCAGGGAAATCAGAACTGTTTAGTTCCAGACGCCCAGTCTCTACAGAGCTGCAGACAGCACGCTCATGTAACCCCAGCTGTAGAAGGCACATCCACATGAACTTGCTTCTGCTGCATACCGCAACGCAGCTGCTCTGTGCTCAGTTCAGAGTCACAGGACACAGCTCCACATCTTTCTCACAACTGCTCACATTTTACTGCTTTTAACATAAATTAAAGGTTACATGAAAATACTTTTTTTTTTTCCCTCACGAAGCAATCTAACACTAAAGCGTTAGCGCAACTGGCATTCGCACGTGCTTCCACACTGACCTTCACCCTGAGGGACACGCTGCTAACGTGCATTCATACCTCTGTGCTTTGCAGTGATATCGCATAATTCTAGCTGTTCCTATGTGTCACATAAACTTATTAGGCATTTTACCATCCCAGATGTGAGTTATATTTTGCCTATAAAGCGTACCCAGAGGAGCGGAACCCTTTCACTTTGAGGCATACCCTGAAAGCAACTTCCCCCCTTCCTCTGCTTTTTCGTGAGATTCAGCTCTAGGAATCACTTAATAGCTCAAGCTCACTCCCGAGGGGGCTCCGAGCCGCAGAGCCCACCAGAAGTAGGGAAAAGCCCCAGAAGAGGCGC